GATAATCGTGTTTCGATACGATCAAGCTTTAAAGTTGGTTAAAAATTTCTATAGCACTAATTCGGAGACACAAACGAATCGGCCAACGAAAGAAACAACAAAATGTGTAGCCCATTTCCAAAAGTTACCTTTCCGTAACCTGTTGGAGAACTAAAGCTATCGAAGAGGTAACACTACACTAAATCATGTAAATCACTTGCATACCTAAAAAGTAAGCTCACAAGATAACATTATTAGAACCAGAATTCCAAGAAAATACTTGAAAATTCTCAAGACTATCAACTACACAAAAAGCCAGACGGGGGGGGGGGGGGGGTGTGTGGGGAAGGACAGTTGAATGAAAGAGAAAAAAAAAAGAGGACTTTTTTGAGCAAAAAAGAAACCGAGAACAGAGACAATAGCAAACAAGAACATCAAAGAGAGGAACCCTAAGACAAATCATATAGCTTACAGCAAAACTAAAACAAATCACTCCTAGACCGCAAAACCCAAGAAAATACCTAAAACGCTTCAAACTATCACTTCGACAAGTAAACAAGGGGAAGAAATACCCGACCCAAAAATTCAAAAAAGAGACTTTTTTTTTTTTGTGAAAGACAAACTGATAACAGCAGGAGAAGCAAACAAGAAGAGGAACGTACCTTGGAGATCAAACCCGTGTGCGATCGCAAGAATCAGCAGCAACGACTGTAAATAAAATCAAGCGAGAGGTTAAGAAAAGATCAGACTTTGCTCCGCGAGACGACGATCGCGGGAAAGAAAGAGCGCCGCTAGCGAGAAAGCGGAGCATTTCTACTTCTTGATTTGGTGACGGGATCCGTACACTGTTTTTAGATCGGACGGCCAAGAATGATTCCATCTCGGTGGATCTCAGGTTGGAGTTATTATTAGGGCGAATTCGCAGGAAAAACTTCTCTTTTGGGATTTTTCTTTTTTAAAGGCGCCCCTGAATCCCTAAAGCTCGTTTTTTTTCTTTTTTTTTTTCTAATACAAGAAGTATCTTAAGCCATTTATTTTGCACGCTCGAGAGCGAGTTTACTCAACCGAAGTGTAAGTCTCGGACCAATGATGCGGCTCGTAGGTTCGCGAGAAATTATCCGTTTTGGACGATGAACGTACTCGTACGATTTTATCTTTTTCCGAAGCATGTGAGCTTCAAAAAATACCTCTACGGATAAGAGAGACTAAGTGAAGTTATGAGCCCTTCGTTCCCATACTCCTCGATCAATGTTAGACTAAATAACCTTATAATTTAGTATTATTGAAAATATTATGATTATGTGTAAACACATTTAAACATAATATTTTTATAAAATTTATTATTGAAAATATTGTAACATAGTGTAAAATATTCATATTATATTATAAACATAATATTTTTATAAAATTTATTATTTACAAAGAGTAATTTAAAAGTATTCATATTTTTTTAATTGAGACAGTAAACAGTGATCTCCCATTATTATCGGGCAAAATTAGGTGCGAGTCCTTTCTAAGTCAATAGTTTCGCGGGGAATAGTATTGCAAATATTGCTACTCCTCGATCCGAGGAAGACATCCGTACCACTGTATTCAGATTGGACGGATTCCGTGTGGTGGATATGATCCGAGGTTGGAAGACAAAATTGCGTGTGAATTCTTCCAAGTCAATTATTTTCGTATTTATTCTTGAAACCAAAAACAAAATTTTTGTTATCATGATAAAAATATTAGAGATTATTATCATTTTATTTTTTAAAATTCAAAGTATGTATAGTTAGACGTGATCAATGAGTTCTCTCGATAGATATTATTTATAAGAGGGTCATGTACATGATATATATTTTATTAATATTTGTAAATTAATATTTATGTAGCCAACCTCAAATGATTATTATTATTATTATTACTATTATTATCATTTAAAATAATCGGATGTAGTTCTTCTCCTGTGTGAAGTGGGTCGATAAATTTTAATTGAACTTACGTGAGACGAGATGATGAAGAGATGGAAAGGGATGGACTGAGTGCGAGGTGTTTCATCAAGTTTCAGGAATAAATTTTAATTTTAATTACTTCTCATGAAATCTGATCTTTATAAAGAGCAAGTCTGGATGAAAGAGAAAGAGTGTTGATGGCCTCAGATGATTGGCTGACTGATACATCATGTCGGCATGACTGTGAGGGTGGAGAGTAGAACCCTAGAACATGGTGTCATTCCATCACACTGGGTGATGAAAGAGAGACTCTTGTTCGGATGAATGCTGTATATATCAATCATGTCAGCATTTATGCAGTACCAAGCCACAGAAAGGTTGATTGAGTGACAACAACCCGAATGAGAAAAATGACCTTGTAAGTTCCATAAACTCCTAGCGGTGTAATAGCACCGGAACTGATACGTCAAACCCTAATGAGAAAAGGGTTTATACTCGATAAGCTCAGTAATCTTGACAGGGGATTCTAAGCTTATCCTTTTAGTCGCCCAAATCAATCAGACAATGTTCTGTCGTCGACACTGTTGCATCATCGACAGCACTAAATATAGTGCTTACCTGCGGTACGAGTAAAGAACATGAGAACACGGCATGTACTGTTTCTTTTCTTTTCCTTTTTCCTCTTCTTCTTTGTTGTCACATAATTAATTTTAACATATTGATGTCCTCCTCTTAGTCTATCCTTAGCATTCTCTTTCTAGGCCATGGTGGTGCTGCAGCGGCAAATAAAAAAGAAATGGAAGAAAGCAGAATGAGTAACACGATTTTGTGGCCTCACTATCATCTCAAGACTGGTGCATGTGATGCGAAAGCATTGTAACATAAAGAATAAGAATGCATTTCTATTGAATTTTAGATGGTCTTCTTCTTCTTCTTCTTCTTCGGCTTTAACAGATAAAATATCTCTTCGTCTTTTTTTTATTTTTATGATATCAGAATTAAATCGGAGAGACCTGAATCAGGCTAACAGTGCATCACGCTGTGTAGGGTTTCCAAACGGCTCCTGATGTTGCTTTCAGACAAGATTGCGGGATATCTTCCAGAGCAAGGCAGCATCACCACTAAAAGAAATGGCCATAGAGAAAGCAGTCGCTCCACGGGTAATGGCGACAGTGTAGGAGCTTATTGCTGGAGTATTAGTGCCGTCACTGAAGTCATCATATGCGAACCTTATTAATGATACTCCAGACGGAAAAGAGCCCGCTCTTGTATATACTAATACGTGTACCGTTTGGAACATCTGAGCAGGTCAATCATCAATGGAGGTGATGCACTGTCGAGGGGCTCCAATGAGTTCCATCCGAAAGGAACGTGCTTTAATGCGATCCAAGTTAGGTTTCGAAAGATTCGAGCTGTGGCCCCACGATATCTCCTCCACTGTCCCCTTCACGGCAACAAATCGATGATAAGATCGCTACAAATCCCACCAAATCCTCGACTAACCAAAGAGGAGAAGATATCTTCCTTCCAATGAAGATATCCAAAGAAACTGTGCTCGACAGTATTAAACTCGCCTTACTTGTTATCAGAAAGAAAAAGGAATACTCGATGATATGTTGGAATTTTCTGAACATTTCACGATGCTGCACTACTGGGAGGTGACACAATGCTATTTGTTCTTCAGAAAAACATCCATTTGTCCAAGTAAAACACTTGATAAAATGCTCAAGGATTTCTTAGGTTGTGATCTTGAGATTTTTGCATGGCTTACATGTTCCCTTCCCACATCATGCCACGCATAAATTGCTAAAAGGTCTTTCTTCAAATATGTGGTGCACACGAAGGAGACAAGCTGATAAGAAGATCGCATCAACCAGTTGTCGAGAAATCTACAGGGCATACCCATCCAACAAAGACTTCTTTTTTGTCTTGACCAAGTCCACCTCAGCCGAAGGTGTATACATACGTACTTAGATTACCTTGTAGTCATCAAATTATAATGTAGTCATCAAATAGAGCACGGATAGAACGAAAGAATCATACATACTTTGTGTTGTTAGGATATCTTTAGACACATCTCACCTACCTTTCCCTTCTTTCACCCCCAAACATACATATACGGTGCAGAATGAAGCCTCCACATCAACACCATTTATTCCGTAATCAATCGCCATCCGCATGGTAATAATAGTTCATTTAATGAAACCCTCTTCGCTTAAAGGTTTTGGAGCAACGACAATGTGATAGGCGAGCAAACCGGGAGTGAAGTATATGGTACTACACAGTCAAACTCATGTCACAGTGGGATTTCAAGATGGTGAGTCTCAAATAATAAATAGTTCATGGTGCACCACAGTGCTGCTACTACTGCCTGGGATCCTCGAACTATCCTGGAGTTTTTACGATGATGAGTCTCGAATAAATTAATTTTATTCATGGTTAAAAATTAATTTTGTAAATGATTCAACACCATCATCATGTCAATTAGGTCCTCCTGTCACATCTACATTGGCATCTACTTGATGTAACTTCGAGCACTCAATTCTCTCGACACGTGAGATTAGGTTAATCATATATATAATAATAATCGTAATTCTTAAATTTTTAATAGATATTTTTTTTTGATCGACCAACTATTCCACATAATTATCCTATTATTTTCTTACTTAATTCTAACTATTATTTTCTTACTTACTTAATTTTAATAGAATTTTATATAAAATTTCACCGAACTATCTTATCCTTTACCCGAAAGCTTGTGACAAGATCAAGTCCTGAACTGGTGTTGGCTCCAACCATAATTTGTATCATATATATATATATATATATATATATAGTGATTCTTCTTCCCGGGTTACAGTAAACTTCTAGGTACCTAATGTTGGGCCCGCGCGGACCCACGTGAGGCCACTATTCCAAGACCCATGACGAAGCGGGTAGTTCTGACGGGTCGGCGTCGACGTGACAGCCAAGAAAAAAAAGTAAACTGTGTCGAGAGAGATGGCTTTGGCGGTAGAGAAGCTTCCGAAAAGTACACCCCAAAAGCCTCAACGCGTCTTAAAAAGATCAAAATAACGTAATAAGGAAGACGAGCGTCCTCTTACTAGTTTGGCGGTGGGAGGGGGAGGGGAGGAGAGAGAGAAAGAGAGAGGCTGAAACACTTACCTTAACCCTACGGCAACCCTGAGGCGGCGCCAGCCGATCGGAACGCATGGAAGAACAGGAGGAGGGCCTCCCGCCGCTATCCGACGCGTCCTCCAGCTGGAAATCCTCGGCCAACGGCGCCTCCATCTCGATCGCCTCCCTCCGCGACCTCTGCGTCGGGGAGGGCCTCGACTGGGGCCTGCCCGGCGGGATCGGGGACGGAGTCCCGCCGGCGTTCGATCTGCCGTCATGGGTGACGGAGGAACCGAGATCCAGCGACGCAGCCGCGGCACTGGCGGCGTCGAGCTCGAGCGACGAGCGTCCCGGCGGGAAGCCCGCCGAGAAAGCGTGAGTCGCTCCGTTTCATAACCGAACCCCCCGTCTCTCTCTCTCTCTCTCTCTCCTCCGAATGGCAGACTCGTGATTATGTCGCACTCAGAGGGGGGCGAATTCAAGCGGCGGAAGGAATCGAAGGCGATCGGAATTCGCCTCCTTTTCGCTTTTCAGGGTTCGTTTCAGACGAAGAAAAGTAGAGACGTGTGACGGTGAGGGGCAACCGCGTAAATAAAGGAAAGTGTCGGGGGCATGGTTGGGATCGCAGCGAAGCCGCCATGGCGGCGGGAATTCCGTGTTTTATTACTTAATATTTCGAAGATTACGCGATTTTCTTTTTTATAATAATAAATAATTTCTTTCCGAAGTAATTAATTTATAGAATAATAAGCATTTTTTTTGTTATGAAGTCAATTTTAGTGACGTGTGGGCGGAGAAGACCGATGATGAGAAAAGCCAATTAATTTTTATCTTCGTTTTCTTTATCTACTGTATCTGTTTAGACTTGCGTTAAACGTCAACTCATCTCGGCTGTAGGAACACAAGTGCCGAAAGGGTGCAAAAGGGAACTCGTCAACCGAGGTTTGCATTCATGACCAAGTCTGAAGTGGATCACCTGGAAGATGGCTATCGGTGGAGAAAGTACGGACAGAAAGTCGTCAAGAACAGCCCATTTCCGAGGTCAGTCGTCGTCCTCCTACTGCAGAAGCTCATCATCATATGTTCCTCGTTGCATGGTTTTTTTGCTCCGGTCGTAAACTTTGACTAGTTGTTGTTTTCAGAAGTAAAAGCAATTCAATATTATTTATTCCTTGTGCTGAAGTAGCTGTCACAGCTGAAGCAATTTCATGTTCTCATTCGATCGCACAAGTAGGAAGTTCCAAATGGTTTTCTCTTTCTTCTAAAGTTGGAGTACACAGTCAAAGATTGCAACGAATTTATGATGACGATGGCCGATGAATATGTGCGATGATGAAAACATCACAACCGATCTCACGACTGGCCGTCGCTCGTGCAGGAGCTACTACCGGTGCACACACAGCAAGTGCAATGTAAAGAAGAGAGTCGAGCGCTGTTCGCAAGATCCCAGCATCGTCATCACCACCTACGAAGGCCAACACTGTCACCACACCGTCTCCGCCTCCCCTCGCACCGACGCGTCGCCATCTCAACAGCTTGCCTCATCGGCACCGCAGATTTGTCTGCCGGCGATGCAGTTCCATCGGAACCCTCCCGTGCTTCCTGTCATCCGTCCAGGCCAAGTAATCGGTCCACGGTACGAGGAGCGAACGTCGATGGCGATGGAGAGAACCTCGCCGGCTCCCACGGACGAAGGCCTGCTGGATGACGTCGTGCCATCTGGAATGAGAAGGACATGACGAAAGTAATCTGGTATCGAAACTTTAAACTTGCTTATGGTATACATGTTTATGTTCTGCTACAACACATCACCGATATTATCCTCATTATTCTGCATAAATCTAAAGCAGCAAATCCATGATGAAAGATGCATGAGTTTAGGAACTCGTTGTGGCACCATGGATCTCTTGGACATTTTACTCGATCTACATGAAATCTTATTCACTATGTGTAGATTCTTTAATGTCACAAGCTGATCACCTTTTCTATCTATCTATGTTCGTCCTCATAAGTTTGCTTCTCTTCGTGGCAACGATCTTTCTTGCAGGTTCCTCGGAAGAAATCGAAGCATGGAAATATATATATTCATCTACGTGGCTCCTCTTTCGGTTATTAGACTTACTAATCATTTGTAGCTCTTCTCATTTAATTTCTAGATCTTCTTCTGTTGTTGTAAGAGTTCATGTCGGAGAAAAAGAGAACTCATAGCTATTCATGGGAAGAACGAGATCTCAACCTCTTTGTTTCCTACCTCGTTCGTCTCCGGTCCTGCGGCACCTGAGAAGAGAAAGAAGGTAAACAACGGCGTTCTGAACGATGACGGCGACTTTTCTTGTCTTGTCTCATCGGTTTCTTTCCTTTCTCCTCTCTCTCATAGGCGTTTTGAACTTGATCTAAAGGTCAGATAAAAGTGAGAGTGAGAGAGAGAGAGAAAAGAATACGCTGGCTTCCTCGGGAACAGGAACTGTCCTTCGTGGAAGAGTTGTACGTCAGAACCAATTTGCATGGCATGCACGTCATGTGCCCTTTTGAAGAGCCAATAGAGATCTATAGCAGAACACAGGGAATTGGGGCCTTTTGCCTGTCTATTCTCTCTCTTCCTTTTAGCTTCAGTTACATTATATGAAACCTAGATAGATATAAAGAACAATAAATATAGCACCTACATTTGGTCCGATCTAGCTCACAGTCATATGGGACGATTAATGACGTGACCAATTCATCATTTCTTCAAACGAGATATTTTCTGACACCATATCGAATTATTAAATCAATCCTATGGAGCAATTTCCTTTTAGGTTTTTTATTGTAAAAGTACCTCTGTGTTTTTTCAAGGAACGGTATGTTTATTTTTTTTATAATTCATAAATATATCTCTCGTCCTCATTGCCATCGTCGTGTCCGCTCACTTTTGTCTTCTCGAGAGTGTGAGTGCGGAAGTGACATTGGAAGTAGGTGACAGATTCACGACAACACCATAAGAATAGAAGAGATGGTTGGGCAAGCAAGCAGCTATAGGGAGGGAGGCCCTACGGGGCAAGATGAGGGGGAAGGACAACGGATAGAAAAGGGTGTTCGGTAGGGAGGGCGAGATGATGAAGGTGACAGGGCGGAGGAAATGATCACCGAACAATGAACAAAAGACATTTACGATATTACTAGATTTAAGAGCACCATATGAAATAAAAATAAAAATAAAAACAGAGTCATTCCTTCCGTGAAAAACCCAAAAAAGCGAGTTTTTTTTTTATAAAGAAAATCATCCGTATTTTACTGTTTCCGTTGAAATAAGATCATTGATGTGACAAACTAATAAATCCTAAATCAACTGTTGCGTCACGAATTCTAATCATATGTTAGGTTTTCAGTTCATCAGCATCGTGCGTTAGATATGTCACAAAGCAGATACAAATAAATTCCTAATTTCACTACGTCACTTGTTCAATAAGCAATGTTGCAGATCAACATCCACGTGAGGTATTGTATCCAATCAATATGCCCCATAAAAATTATTCGGGGTTTTGCTCTTTTGTTCCTTCAGCTGCAGATGAAAATTCCAGCTCCAAGGAAACATGACATAGAACAAGAATAAAATACGATTTAACGGAAAACACATTAAAACATAAAAAGCTTCTCTGAATCATTTCAGAAGAGCCAACCACTCTGTTCGATCACCATACAACTCTATACATCACTTGGTTAATGGAGGCATAAAGCATAGCAGCAGATCAGGTGTTCATACGAAAGACAGTTTCAGAACAAAATCAACTCACGACCAGTCTGAAGCACAGATTACTATCTAAAACACTTTCCTACAATTAGAAAACAGAAACTAAGTTGTTCGATAACCCCGTCACTGGTTTTGCAGACCAAATTGATTGGTGTTTCCATATATAACAAAAGTCGACATGTTGCAACAAAGTTGCTCGATAACCCCAGAATTGAGCAAGGGCATTCTTATTGCCATCAGCTCTTGCTAGTTAAGATCTCCTGCTGTTTCTTCACCATGGCTTTGTGTTTCTGCCCAGCAATATGAATGTCAAGGACTTTTTGGCTGTTGCACACAACGTTGCATAGATAACAGCCTCTAATTGCATCTGCAGCCGCCCCTTGTTCCAAGACTTTCCGTCTCTTGGTCTCCAAATCCTGCTCCAATGCTGGTCCGGTCTTATTCTCTGTTTCCTCAAAAGCAGCTGGGTTTTCCATCTGTAAATCTACAACTTGATCATTTGTAGGCTTTTCTGTGAAGGTCTCTTGTAGTTTTTCCAAGTTTTTTTTATGTTTTTTCCCCATTTTGTGCTTGTTAAGGACATCTTCACTATTACAGCTGATATTACAAATTTCACAATACAGAGGCTGTACAATCCAGGAGGCAGTGTGTGAGCCACTTGTACAGGCTGGAAAAATAGTCTCATTGGGGGAAACCATAGATGGTGAATTGGAAAGTCTTCCCTGGGCCTGTAACGTGCAATGCTAAGGAAATCAGTTGTCACAAAGTCATTATATCTTGAACCGAACATGAATTGTTAAAAGATACAGTTAATTGCTGTAAATCGAGAATAAAAAGATTATGTAAATCAGATAGGTAATATTTGCAGGCAACACATGATACATGTAAAGCGAGATACAAAAGGCCTGCTCATTCACACTCTTATGGTTCAATAGTTGGTCTAAGCCACGACCACAATTGTGAGAAGTTTACAGAAAAACTAAGCCATGCTTACCAGACTTTTAAACAGCATTTCTGAGGAATGATGATTCCTTCTAATACATAATATAATGATATTTTTGAAACACAATCCCTTTCTGATACATAGGAAGACCTCCTAATGCAAGTTTCAACTTTAGGGACTGTCAACAACCTTTCTAACACTCTTCTGCAATGTCCGTATTCAATGCTCCATGTAAGTTTAGCAAGAATGTATACCCAAATATGGCCCTCAGTCTATTTTATTTTTCCATAACATCATGACAGGAACAAATGCTGCTATTGCTGACTTGGTTAAGGACAGAAAAATGTTACTGCATTAGCAATCCTAAATATGCTGTTAATTAAAACAGTCAGCAAAGAATATAAGCTGAGAGAAAAATAAGTACACAAATCATGCCAATTTCTTTACACATCATATACAAGAATGCAGAAACCTCCTCATGTATAGGCTCGATATTCTAGACACACCATCATATTTCCATGCATATCAATGTAAATAGATTGTGATCCACTATAGTCAATTAAATTGGTTGAGCATCTGTTACCTTAAGGACGTGCTTTTCTCCTGCAAGATGGAAGGCAAAGGCCTTGTCGCTGTTGCATACAACATCACACAATGTGCAAACTCTAACAGATTCAGCTGCTACACCTCCTTGAATTACTTTTGATTTCTTAGTCTCCAGATCTTTGAACTTTGTCTTGGTACCAGTGGCACTCATCTGGAACATACATATCAAATATATATCTGAACATGTAACTTTTGATATAATGCACGTCAACACAGACAAGAATGTATTTAAGTACAGTCGAGCATCTATTTACCTTCATGATGTGCTTTTCTCCTGCAAGATGCGAGGCAAAGACCTTGTCACTGTTGCAGACAACATTGCACAATTTGCAAATTCTAACAGATTCAGCTGCTGCGCCTCCTTGAATAACTTTTGATTTCTTCGTCTCGACATCTTTGACCTTCGGAATGGTACCAGTGGCTTTCATCTGGTATGTACATATCAAAATGTACATCGGAGTATGTCACTTTTGACATAATGCACATCAATACATATAAGAATGCATTCGACTCAATTTTATTGATTATCTGTTACCTTAATGGCGTGCTTTTCTCCCGCAAGATGGGAGGTAAAAACCTTGTCACTGTTGCAAACAACATTGCATACTGTGCAAATTTTAACAGATTCTGCAGCTGCGCCTCCTTGAATAACTTTTGATTTCTTCATCTCCAAGTCTTTGACCTTTACCTTGGTATCAATGGCTACTCTTATCTGGTAGATATTATAATGATATCTAAGCACATGACTTTGGATATAATGCACATTACCAGCTAAAACTAAGTGGCTGTAAGCTAGCAGGTTCTGTGTAACAAGAATTGTGTCTGTCCTTGCTAATAAACTATTTTAGAGATCATTACTAGAGCAATCAAATGCCTGAACAAGAAAGTACCCAGAATTAAAGCACATAGTATTGCCAGTTCTCTAACCTAGCTTTACTTGATAAAAAGCATTTCTCAAAACTTTGAAGAAGCCAATCGAGCAGTCAGTTAATTACATTGCTACATATCACATTTTGTAAACCTAAAGGATGCATTATATTCAGTCCAAAAGTACATAAAGGTTTGAGTTCCCAAGTGCAACCTGTCTCCATGTACCCTCATCCTTTTAGCATATGCAGTGATGTGGTGTCCAAACACCAACCCTGAAAAGAGCCATTGCAGCCACAACAAGTTTACAGAGCGAGATGCTCCTTTTCTTCTTAAGTCCACATGGAGACAATCATAAAGAATAAGGTTTATCCTCCAATAGTGATGGCCATGCCATCACTTGCAATAATTCATGAGAAAAACATTGAAAATGGAGGGGCATAGGAGAGAAGTGAAAAATGAATATTTGTGGAAGAAGGGCAAAGCTATAGAGAAAAGCTCAACACTCATCAAAGCAATTAGTCTTATCTGCATTTACAGTGAGTTGGACCTCCCAACTCTATAGGAACAGTTTCCACTTACCTGCATCCATGTTTCTCCAACATTCACTTCCTTACTCCTGTGAACCATGATGGTAATAAATGAAAATGTAGTAGTTAATCATGAAACTAGAGCCCAAGGTGAAAAGTCTATCAAACTACTAGTTGAAGTAGCCTTTCATATGGGAGAGACCCCCCAATCCCCTAGTTCAAGTTTGAAAGCAAACTCATACCTGATGTGCATCAATGCGAAAGTGCTTTATCTTTCGTTCATTTTAGGAACTTATCTTTTTGTTTTGTAGTGAAAAACAAGTAATATGACGTCAATTTTATCATTTTATAATTGACAACAAGAAATATGATGTTATTTGCCAATGATATTATCCTAGTTGATGAAAACCGAAGCGAAATTAATTATAAACTTGAGCCATGGAGACAATCCTTAGAAACTAAAGGTTTTAAATTAAGTATGATTAAAACTGAATATATGAGATGCAATTTTAGTGATACTAGGAATACACAAGAGAATATAATTGAGTTGGATGGACAAGAAGTTCCTTTAGGTAAAAGCTCTAGGTATATTTAATCAATTATTCAACAAGATAGAGAGATTGATAAAGATATTATTCATAGAGTAAAAACATGATGGTTAAAATAACAAGGGGAGTTGTGAGACCGACAATATTTTATGGATTCGAGTGTTGGACAGCTAAAAAATAACATATACAAAAATTTTGTCTTGTTGAGATGAGAATGCTATGATAGGTGTGTGGAGTTACTAGGAAAGATAGGAAAAAAAATATTTTTATTCGTTAACAACTATATATCGGTACGATAAAAATTAAGATGAGAGAGAATTATTTAGAATGGTATGCACATATGCTTAGAAGTCCTTCAGATGCGGTAGTTAGAAGAGATGAAATGATTAATGTTAGTGATACAAGGAGAGATAGAGAAAGACCTAAAAAGTATTTAATAGAAACCATAAATAAATATCTAAGTACTCTGAACTTAACTAAATATATGACCGTTTACATATCTCAATGGTGGCAAAAAATCTATATAGCCAATCCCAAATAGTTGTGCTTTACGACTTTATTGTTGTTAAAATCAATAGCTTGGTTGCACAAAAGCATCTACATTGATAAGACCAAGTGGAACAATATGTGAGCTCAACTTAATTTGGTTGTGTGGCATCTCAAATTCAACTTAACTTGATATTTTCTAAAATGCCACGTGCTTAACATATGGTAAATTGGTACTATATAAATTAAAAAACAAAGACGCTCATGCATGAATAAACTAAGTCAAATTCATGTAATTTATAGTGTGAAGCTCAAAATGCAATAAAAAAACTAAATCAAGAATTCAATTTGACTCGATCAACTAAAAAACGAGTCGAGCCAAGTTTTGTGCTCCAGACAGCAGTTGCCACCCTAATTCAAGACAAATTTATATCTGTCTATGTTCAAGAAGCAAAGATGAAGTTGACGTGAAAAGAGAACTTCTGTCAGTAAGTTTTGTTTCAGAACCAGGATCCACAAGGAACAGCTAAAAGCTCAAGCAAGGATGGAGTTCAGCACTAAAACTTTCAGAACTCCCTTCCCTTTGGATTTCTAATATTTCAAGACACGGAATTGTTTGATCCTCTTGCCACCACGCAAGACTTAGAATGACGGCCAATATTGTGCAATTTCTGCCAATTCCAGATAGAAATCACCCTCTTTTAACAGCACGAACTTCAATCTATCAATAAGGAAAGGAAGACGAATCGAAGGCCAACCCATAAAAGAAGATTAATGAACGGCTCAAGCTCGAAAAAATGAGACGAGGCAAGAGGCAACTCACGGGACCATAGCTCGAGGGATCCACATGAAACGGCAGAGCGGGGAACTCCTGCGCCTGCCCTCCGGCCATGTTATAGTAAGGCGCCAAGCCAATCCCACCAGCAACCGTCATCGCATAGGGCGTGGCGATCCGGTGATCGCGGACGTCGAAGGGGTTCACCCCCGCCGCAGCATCGGCGGCGCTCGGATTGGGGTTAGGGCACGTGAAGTAAGACAGCGGAGGGGAAGCGTAGGATTGGGGTTGGTACGACACCGGAGCCGCTTCGTAGAGAAGGTGGTGGAGGCGGCGCTGATCGTTCTGGTCGGCTGCCGGAACCGGAACTTGGGATTGGCGATCCATTCGACGGGAC